CCTCATTAAACTGGTTTGACAGGATTAAAAAAAATACATGGACTGTAATCTCTAATACAAAAAAGCAAGCATGTAACTTTCTGTGACAGTGCATGTAAAAAGCATTTGGTGATCACTTATTAGCTGTTTGTTGGTTGGCCACACAACTCTATGCAAGCACAGCATATTTCCTGTTCAGATTTACAGACCAAATGTGGATTTTAACTTGCACAACCAGCAGGTGTTCTGTGAACTCAAAAGCAGGATCAAGTTCAGGTAAAAAAAATATAATCGGGTAATAAAATATAATGAAGTCAATGAATGAGTCTGGACATTTCTTTACTGTAGACATTAACTCACTCAGGTGGTTAGCCAACACACACCCATGCCACAGCCACACAGGGGCTTTGTGGCTGTTGACCTTGTCAAGACTATGTCACTGCACTTTGTTGAGAAAAATGACAGCACAAATCTTCAGGAGGAATAACTTAACACCTGTATGGCACACTGAACTTCAAAGGGTTTAATCTCCCAAACCCAGAACTTGTGTGGTTTAGCAGAGCCAACTAACAGCTCAATGTGCAGCTGAACCTGATGTAGGTAGATACGCTTAATAATTAGCTGGATTTGCTTAAAATTTGAGCCTCATAAAGCAACAGACAATAATTTCAGTTTTATATCGTTAAGGTCCACCTCTCCTTCTGCAATGAGATAATACACCTATTAATACTTCAACAACTTAATGTGGGCTGGTACTCACTGATACACAGTACTGGCACTCCTACATTTTACTCTTTGGCATACCATCATTTTTTCTTGAATATCAGCACATCTCACCAGCTTTTTGTCTTATATTTAGTGCATGCAGAAAACTTTTTTCAGAGTAAGATCAAATATTTTTGTTTACCACGTCGGTCTCTGGCATTGAGTAAGGCCTATTTGTTCAAACAGCAGTCCAAGAACATAGGAATTGAGTTCAACCATAGAACATACTGGCACCGTTTCTGTCAGTATGTTAGCATCTTATTTGCCTTCTGCTCGGTGTGTGTGAATAAATCAAAATATAATTTGACCTTTTGACTTTATACTCTGGCTTTTTCTTGACATGCAAAAAAAAAAAAAACCACATCTTCCACTCATTTTATTTTTCCTTAGTGTGGCCCTAATACTCTGCCGTGACATGGAGATTAACACAGATTCATATAGAAGAATGTCATTAAAATACCAAATACTGGACACTTGAGTACAAGCTGAAAAGTTTGGCTTGATAACATCAGGATTTGATCTAACAAGACATGAGTGGTGGTGGACTGCTGCTTAATCACTTGAAAAATAACATGCAAACAAGATCTAGAACATCATTCTATGATGTTTTAAAGGATCAGATAAATAAAGCCTATAAAGTACCAATGGGAAGATAAGACCTGTTTAACAAATCAGTCAGCAAACAGCTTGCCTGACCTGTAGTGGCCATATAGGTGCAGGAATACCAAAAAACTCCAGCCCTATGGATACTGGGTAAAAAAAAACCTTTCCAGCACTAAAGACCTTCACTGGTAGTGTGTCCAAGAACCAGTCTTATCTGTTTGGCTTGACAAAGGCTCCATGCCAAAATGCATTGGTCTTCTTATTAAAGTTGCTAAAAACTGCTAGTGTAACTGGCCTTTTTGCTTTCCACTTAGTTTTTTCCTTGTCTGTGCATCTTGACAGTGGGTGAAGTTGTGCCAGAACTTTCTGCTTTATCTGTTTGGCTCAGCAGTTCTTTTGACCTAACTTGAAATCGGTTTCCCTTCTCAAGTAAACATCTGCTCTCTCAGCCTGTTCATATGATCATCCAAACTCTTACCAAGGGCGTAGTTTTGCATATGGACAGTAGGGACATGTCCTTACTAATATTTTGGGAGGACAGAAGTGTTCCTACAAATATTTGGGCAAACCCATGTGTATTATCTTTGAAATGAAGTCATATTAGACCTTTCCAATGTGCCTGACTGAGTGAAAGGGAGGGGGCAATCTAAAGCTCATGTTATATGCAAATGTCATATTTGCTTCCAGACAGCTGTCGGTCAATGTGCTGACAATCGTACGTTATAGTGGCTGACTCTGGTAAAGCTGGAAAGGTATTCACAGATGCAGTTTCCATATCAATAGCGAAGTGTTTCTTAAAATACAAACAATGCCTCTTTTCTTTTATAGTAATGTAGACAACAAGCTGCAAGCTCATTTTTAAAATGAGCCGTCCTCTGCTCCAGATGAGTAACATTGTCTCAATGTGCAGTGGCTGTGAGATGAGTGCACAGGGACCATCTACAAAGTGCAACACTGAAGACAGATAGGCCTACTGCAAAAATAATCAGTAACTTTACTTTCACCCAGTGTGGTGTTACCAGTGTTACATTACACATTAATGGCCACCTGCTGGTTATACTTCAACCCTTAGTTAGGAAAAATGTTTTCTCATAAATTGGAAAAGTATTCAAATTTACTCATATACAGTAGTGTCACCAGAATCACTTCAGAAAAATAATGGCCATGTGCTGACTGTACTGCAACACAGTACAGAAAAAATGCTTTTGTATAATTTTGGTGAAAATATTAACTTCAGTGTTAGAGAGTAGTGTCACCAAAATCACTCATTATGGATGGGCTAGAAACTCCCTGAAATGGGGTGGGTGTCCCTACCAATGTTGTGACTGAAACTTACACCCTTGACTTTTACCAAAAACCTGTCCCTCACTTGACCTTTCACATACACTCATAAGGGTCCCAATACCTCCTGCTTCTCACCGACCTATTCCAATCTCTGTTTTTCTTCCATTTTTGTATCAATTCAAGACTCCATTATCTCCCTGGTCCCTTCCTTTCTTCCCCTCAATTCCCAAGATGCAGCCTCTCTGACTAGAGGCTCATACACTCTTGAGCTGTTATTTAAAACGGAGTGTGAAGTCACACCTCTGGGACACTCTACCAGAAACTAACACCTATAGCAATGTTTCATAATGTCTCATTTTAGATGCATATACCTTGTAGCCATAGTCTAATACAACTCAAAACATTTGCACATGTGAGCAGCTCATAAGAACAAGAATTTAGACAATTGTTACTCAAATTTGTCACATCAGCCACATAAACTTTGTTGGACAAACTACATATACAGTATGAGACTAAATGTGAGTTCAAGTATCCAGAATTTAAAAAAAAAGGCATACAACCACCAATTCATGCTAAATAATGAAATACTAAAACAAAATGTTGTAAAATATGTATTTCCTGCTAATCCACACATCCTAAAATGTAGCAGCATAAAGGCAGTTTGAGTGCAGCTTTTAAAAGTGCCACTGCTGAGGCTGTCATCTGACTCAGGTGACATTTACAAAGAAATCTTTTCTGGTCTAAGGATGAGGGAGAATTTTGTTGCAATTTACAGCTGTTAATTTCCTGTTTCTCTCAGTAAGATGAACAAAATATTAACATTATCACCTTCCTGAAAATTTATTGCATGACTGCTGCATCAGTTTTAGCGAGGTGTACCTAACTGCCAACTGATTGCATTTTAAAATGCAGTAACTCAAGCTATCTTATAACAGATGTAACGGCTGTCACCCTGGTCACCATCCACCTCTTGGACAAGACCATAGTTCATACATTTTTGGAAAACAAAAAACTGACCTTTCAGCTGAACACAAACAAGGAAACCCACGCTCTACAGCAACGATGTTTGGTTCTTTAAGCTACAGCCTCTTCTGAGCAGTGACAGCATCTCCATAGTGTGGCCTGGCTGGTCTGAGGTCCACCACAAAAACTGCTCCTACCAACTCTGCTGCACTTTGAGCGTTGACTGACAGCCCCGTGGCTCCTCCAGACTGCACACTGACACCTCTGTGTGATTTATAAGATTCATCTCATGAGAGCCTCAAACTGTGAGGCACTACAAGTTTGTTCATTCAGTCTAATGTTCTCTTGCACATAATGTTGGTTCAGTGATTACTAATAAGATCTGCCACCTTATAAACCTACTCTGCAGATGTCAAAACAACTTTTTTATGCCAAATTATTGGCAATGTTCCATGTTCCACTCATCATCATATTAGTATTGAGTTGTGTTAATAAATTAACATTTAACTCAGAAGCTGTTTCATCTCTTTTGTGTCTGAAGTCAGTATTTTTCAAGAAACACTGAAGCTCCTGAACCAGAGAACTGATGATTCATTAGAACTGTGCTTCTAACCCATGTTCACTACACCATATCACTGGTGTTCAAAAATGCCATCTAGCAGCAAGTCTGCTCCCACCTTTGCATCGTGGATGGTTCCCATGCTCACCTCCTGGGCTACACACAATTCAAGCTCAGAAACATATAGAGGCAAACAAATAAACTACACAAGCAGAAGTAAATAAACTGACTTACCATATTTATTGATGACACTGGTCCAATGCTGTTCACAAATATGTCAACATCTATGACAGTCGGTTTCACTGTTGGGGGGGGGAAAAAAACATGATCGATCAAGACTTTCATTTAGGCACCATACCTGCCTCTCTTGTAAACCAAAGCCGGGAAAAGTGAAGCTGGATCAATGAGACATTTTGTTCAGAATCATTTGAAGAGTGAGCAACTGCTGAGCGAAGCAGTCCTCAGGGAGCTGTGGTTGTTAATAATGATAACACATTCGTCTTCCTCACATAAAGTGCTGTCACGATAAGTGTCCACTTGAATACAGCAATTACGCACTCATTCATCCACAAATGAACCGAGCAACAAGCTACAGACTGCACTTGAACAACATACTGTTATAACTTCATGTCAGATAAAAAGACGCTGCTGACAGCTCCATGTAGATTATCAGAGGTGCATCAGCGGGGGCTAAGGGTAGTCCAGTAGTTCTCCATCCCACTTATCCCTGCTGTCTTTTTATCCTAGCTGACTAGTCATGCTCTGTCTTCCACCTGGGATACCAGATGAATGTAATTAAATGATAAGCCAGCAGGTGCCTTGATCCCTATTTGGTCCAAGATGAAGAGCTGTGGTAGTCCTACACATAAATCCAACATTTTGTATATAACCTGAAGGTAGAAGATAATTCCATAAATTAAACAGGCTAAGGCCTCTAGTGTGATGTGTTTTCACCTGCTGCAAGGATAAATGTCAGCTCACAGGTTTGACATACAGCAGCAGAACCAGTAGCCTAAAGCCAGCGACAAGCCTAAAAATGATTAGCTCTGTTGGGTTTTCTGTATACCTGCTATATAAGCTACTAATATCAAGAAATGTAGTCACAAGCTCATGTAAACCTTATTTCGCCACTGCTCGATCGGGACCAGTTTAAATGAGATTCATGCAGACATAATCCTACACAAACTGGGACAGGTATCATCTTGAAGTTAACTTTCTCAGGAGAAATAAATAAGAAGGTTTACACTGTTATTATTTTATGGTCAAACTATGATATACAGTGTGTATTTAAGTGTAACAAACGATTTCTAACAAACGTTTAGTAAACGGAATCAAGATGAATCTGTTTATCATGAATCTAAATGACCTTTATATAAATCATAACATTACTAATTTTTTTTAAATATCCTTATAATGTAAATGTTTGTCACTCTATAGTCCATATTTTCATAGTCGCTTTATCAAATGTATTTTAACAAGCTGTTGTGAGTGATAAAATTTCATCACAATGTACTGTAAATATAAAAATCTATAAACATCAAGTCTCCAGTAAACTGCATTAATTAATGTTTTGGACACATGCAAGCAGGACATCAAGACAACACTGACAAAATATTACAAAGTTAATATGGCTAACATGTTAGCAAATAGCTAACATACAGAACATCAGCTGTTTTCGTGTCCATCAGACAAATGTACAATAAGTCCAATATTCACTGTCTGTTTAGTTCTGTGTAGCTCTCGACCAGCTCCACGGGCAAGTGTCTTGCTCTTTGGTTGTTAAATTGCTCCACTATGTTCACCAGCTGTTTGCTAACTTTATTAATTATTTAGTGCTGAGCAGGAGCAGACTGTGAAAACAGCTGCCTACTACTGGAAACTGGTTTGATGAGAGTGAACCAAAACAATCAAGTTGTACGGAAAACCAAAACAATGAGCTCAAAGACAAAAGAAACTGCAGAGTCAAGTATTCTCTGCGGGTTCATCACTATTAATGACACTTAAACATTGCATATACAGTAGCATTTTTTTATGCCTCTTCAATGGCGATAGCTGTGGCCAGAGGCATTATGTTTCTGGGTTGCCCGTCTGTCCGTCTGACGCATTCTCATGAACACCATATCTCAGGGATGCCGTGGGGGACTTTGTTCAAATTTGCTACAAATGTCCACTTGAGTTCAAGGATGAACTGAATTCTAAAGTCCTGTGTGTGGGGGATACGTGATATTGTTGACAACAGTGCGTATACTGTAGACAATAGGTGAATCATTTCACTCTCACTATTTTGACAGTGCCAGTTCCCACTGACCATTGCTGTGAGCTGCCAGTGAAGCTGAGTCATTACACATATTGAAATGACACACTGACATTTCCCCATTGAGGGATCAATAAAGTACCTACCTACCTACTATATGCCACACTTAGCTAACAACAAACACCTCCAGAAAGACTTCATGATTCCAGATCCAGATTTCACAGCCTGCAGCACCACATCAGCATATAACACTCTTCACAGTGCATATGCACCAGATTGCCCTTTTCCTATTACCATCTTTAGTATAATTTGTCTTCCTAAGTCAGCCTGGTTTTCCGGACTCCGCTGCTGTGATTTCATAGACTTTAATCCTCAATTTAAAAGTGTCATTTAAAGCTAGAACTTGTAAACCAGCTAGGTGGCAGCTGTGACATACTGCTACTGTGAGTCTTCACATTTGCACAGGAAAGAGCTCCTCCATCATTTTACATTACCTGTCTTTAGACTCTGTGTGTCTTGGCCAATTACTGTAAATCTACAGTGAGAACTGTTCCACCTGCCAGTCTCAAATCCAGCGTTCAGTTCAGATGTTAACAGATGGCACACTAGAGAACTCTTATGGAGAATCCCTGCTGAGGCAGCTTCTCTAAAGCACTGTATTCATAACTTCACAACACCTGGTGAGCAAACTGAATAGATCTACTGTATAAGCTACTGAAGGTAAAATGAGGAAAAATGCTTCAAAAATCAAAATGTGGTATTTGACTAAATCATTCTAAAAATTTATAATTCTCTTGTACATTTCTCTCAATCATGGTTTAATCAGCTTCAGCTTCAGATGGGACAAGGCTGCAAACATTCTCTACGAGTGAGGTAACAGCTCATCGTGGACAAACTGTCAGGTAATAATGTCAGCTCCTGCAACAGGATGTATTCGGACTGGCAGAGTCAGCCACCCAAGCATAAATTAACTCGAGACAATCAACTCTGCTGGTTGGTCCACTATGTATTGCTGCTCTTCTGACCTGATCTTCTTTCTCAGACAGAGACTATTCATATGTAAACAGCCTGGGTAATAAATGCTTTAATTAATAGAGCTGAATAAAGACCACAGGAATCTCAGAAAGCTTCAGCAGGTTATAACCCAATAAGACCCATATATTTTCTGCTATCAAGAATGTCTTTATTATTACCAGGATCCTACATTGGTTATTATGTAATAAAAACAGACAAAGGGAAGGAGAAGAAATATTTTATGATCCCATTGAACAGACAAAATTGGTTCATTACACTGTTTCCAGAAGAGAATATCACCAGCACTGAAATGGTTTCATCTAACTTAGATTACAAATGTGATCCACTGTAAATCAAATCAAATCAAATCAAATTTTATTTGTATAGCACCAAATCACAACAAAAGTCATCTCAGGACACTTTACAAAGTAAGGTCTAGACCTTACTGTTATCAATATTATTACATAGGGAAAACCCAACAAATCCCCCTTGAGCAAGCACTTGGTGACAGTGGGGAGGAAAAACTCCCTGTACACTTCATATTTCATTATGTAAAGAAACGCTGCAGTGTAACCCTGTTTCCTATGAATTAGGCTAATGCAGCTAATTTGCATTAGAAATTACTCACTTTAGAAAGTATTTAGACCCTGTCACTTTTTGTGCATGTATACATCAATAAAGTTTTTACGCAATGTCTTGTTTTCTATTCTACAGTTAATAGATTTATATATAGTGCTTTTCTATGCAACGAAGCACACTCAGAGCGCTTTACACTTTTCCAATTCATACACTGATGGCACAGCTGCCAGGAGCAACTTGGGGTTCAGCATCGTGCCCAAGGACACTTTGGCATATGGATGGGAGAAGTTGGGATCCAAGCCACCAAACTTCAGGTTAGGCGACGACCTGCTCTACCTCCGGAGCCACAGCCACCCAAATCAGAAATCATGTGACAAGAGCAGAGTACAGACCAACAACACAGATGCCCTGTACAGGAAGGGCCAGAGCCACCTCCACTTGCTGAGGAGACTGAGGTCCTTTGGTGTGTGGGGGGCACTCCTTTTGACATTTTATGATACTAAAAAAAATATATAAAAGCTCACTGCAACCATTGTACATATTACAAAAAAGAGCAATAAGAATTGTGCATAAGATGGGGTACAGGGATCACACCAATGTAGCTTTCATACAGTCTAAATTGTTAAAATTTTTTGATTTAGTGGGATATAAGACTGTTGTGTTTATGTATAAAGCCAGGAACAATTTATTACCTGGTGGAATTCAAAAACTATTTAATGAAAGGGAAGGGGGATACAATTTAAGGGGTCAGTTAAATTTAAAAATTCATGCTATACGTACAACCAAAAAAGCAAGAACAGGCTCAATGATTATATTTTGTAACCATTCTTTAGTATATCAATTGTGTGATTTAAGAATGTTAACACTGTAATATTCTTTTTTAGTATAATGTGTGTGTGTGCAGAAGTGAATCATTTATTGCTTGCAAACCAATGATGGTAAGATGATGTCATGGGGTAGGACTGGATAAGTCTGACTTCTTCCTACTCCATTCAAGCATGTACTAGGTATAAGCACATTGATATTGAATTGTGTGTAAAAATGGGTGTTGTTATATCAACTGTTTTATATGCTTGAAAGAATAAATAAATTAAATCAAATCAAATCAAATACTGTGGTGGCATCTGCAGTTTTTTACGCTGTTGTGGGTTGGGCAGGAGGTAGCACTGACAGGGACAGAAAGAAACTAAACAAGCTGGTTAAGAGAGCTGGTTCTGTCCCGGACTGCCCCCTGGATTCCATCGAGGAGATGGCAGACAGAAGGAAACTAAAACCCATCATGAATAACCGCCACAATCCCATGCACCACACAGTGGAGGCTCTGAATGGTTCCTTTAGCGCAAGACTATTACATCCCTGGTGTAGGAAGTAGCGTTACCGTAGGTCGTTCCTCCCCACAGCAATCAGACTGTATAATATATCGCTGCAGTGATAAGATAGGTGAAATTATGAGGG